AAAAGCACTTTCCGTTAGGATTTGACAGAAATAAAGTTCACCATTATTTTAAGCACGTTTGAAACTACAATTTGGGCTAATAAAAGAGGGTACGAAAATTTCGTTTCAGTGGCACTTTCAGTGTCTGCTTTGGCCGATCTGTTTCCTGGGTAATAAAATGTCTGTAATATTCATAATTCAAGTTAGGATGAACTTCTGAACTAAAGAATAACACCGCATGCACACACTTCTGCAGAAAAAAAAAAACTCAACAAGAAATTCAGCTGCTACTGATCCAGATTTCTGCAAAAGCTGGTTTTTCCTACCTCTGTTACAACGAAGAGAGCAGCTCGCGTAACACAGACTACATTGTTCAAAGTACTGATCTGAACCGAGAGTACTGAACTCGGTTAATAATTCAGGGGGGGGGGGGTTTCAAGTATATCCGCCTCGAATTAAGGTTAGTTGTTAAAAATTACATTCCTTCATTTTAGTAATTAGCTTTATAGTCCGTAGTTTGAAGTCATGATGTCCTGACTTTTGAATGATAGGGACCTTCCGCAAAACACGACGGCAACGGCAAAGCAATAAACTTGCTGGGCAGCAAAACGAATTTTTACGTACATTATGCACCTTGGTAAATTTCTTAGCCCTCCTTTGCAAATGAAAGAAACATGAAATGACCAATTTTCAAGTTTTTTTTTACCTTACGCATTCATAGCATGCGTAAGGTCCCTACTTTTGGTTACAAGAATTTCAGCTTCTCTCGCTCTTTCTCACGCACATTTCATAATTCTCCAGATCAGAAACTTGTTGGTCTATCGCTTCCACCGCCTTTTCCAGATCAGGTACTTGCTAGTCTCTTCCTGTCACGTCCTCTCTCACATTAGTAACCTGTTGTTCTCCTAAGGTCAAGTCCTCTTCCTCATCAATAACTGGTTGGTGATCTCGCTGTCCCGTCCTCTTAGCTTCCAAATCAGTAACTTGTTGGTCTTATGCTGTCTTGTTCTCTTCCAAATCAGTAAATTGTTGGTCTTATGCTGTCTTGTTCTCTTCCAAACCAGTATCTTGTTGGTGTTTCTCTGTCTTGTTCTCTTCCTGATCATTCTCTTGTTGGTCTTTCTCTGTCTTGTTCTCTTCCTGATCATTCTCTTGTTGGTCTATCTCTGTCTTGTTCTCTTCCTGATCATTAACTTGTTGGTATTTCTCTGTCTTTTTCTCTTCCTGATCATTATCTTGCTGGTTTTTCTCTGTCGTGTTCTTTTCCTGATAATTAACGTGTTGGTATTTTGCTGTCTTGCCTTCTTCCTGATCAGAACCTTGCTGGTCTATCTCTCTCTTGTCCTCTTCCTGATCAGAAACTTGCTGGTCTTTCTCTGTCTTGTCCTCCTCCTGATCAGAAACTTGTTGGTCTTTCTCTGTCTTGTTCTCTTCCTGATCATTATCTTGTTGGTCTTTCTCTATCTTCTTCTCCTCCTGATCATTAACTTGTTGGTATTTCTCTGTCTTGTCCTCCTCCTGATCAGAAACTTGTTGGTATTTCTCTGTCTTGTTCCCTTTCTGATCATTATCTTGATGGTCTTTCTCTGTATTGTACTCTTCCTGATCATAATCTTGTTGGTCTATCTTAGACTTGTCCTCTTGCTGATCAGAAACTTGTTGGTCTTTCTCTGTCTTGTTCTCTTCCTGATCATTATCTTGTTGGTCTTTCTCTGTCTTGTTCTTTTCCTGATCATTACCTTGTTGGTCTTTCTCTGTCTTGTTCTCTTCCTGATCATTATCTTGTTGGTCTATCTCAGTCTTGTCCTCCTCCTGATCAGAAACTTGTTGGTCCTTCTCTGTCTTGTACTCTTCCTGATCATTATCTTGTTGGTCTATCTCAGTCTTGTCCTCCTCCTGATCAGAAACTTGTTGGTCT